GCGAACAAGCAAAACTTTTATCATTCTGGCCTAGAAGAGCATTGAAAGTGTTACTTTTAGGGGCATGCTTACCATTCAGCTGATTGTAGTTTGTGCTCACCAAAGTGTAAATAAGAATAGCAAGTATATGTTGAACACTTTCTATGTACCAGGCATTTATATTATCTCATATAGTCTTCACAATGACCTGTGAGATAGGTTGGAATTCCCTTTACAGATGAGGCTGGGAGAGTAACAGATGTCTCCAATCTAAGTCTGAGATGAGGAGGCGGACAGAACAAGTGCCTGTTATGTACAGTACCTGTGGTTTGGTTTATGATGTTAGCAGCTTCCAGGAAATGCTGAGATGTTTCCATAGCTGCCTAGTAAACGTCAGATTACCTCAGCTTGTCTAGGTAAGAATATCTGATCACACTGGGTGACCTAGGGTGGATTCTCCTGGGGTGAGCCGCCTGGAGTAAGGACTTGTGTTTCCTGTCTAGCTTTGGTCTGGCTCATTCTGCAGTGCCCTAACATGTCACTTGCTCTCTGTCACCTTATTAATTGCTGAACACTCACTCATTGTGTGCTTTGCTGGTCACATGCCAAGAACTTTTGGCAGCTCTGGGGAACATGCTCTCCGTATGCCTTCTGGTAAGTGTTGGACAACTAGAAGTTCCTAGTTGTTGTGAGAACTTTGATTCAGAAACTAGGACACATGCCAGAGACCAGGGATGGGGTAGTTGGGCGGCTGACAGGTGAAATGGAGCTATTCAGGTTGTCACTTGGTCAGGACTCAGAAATAGAGTAGGCATGTATCTCTGAAAAGTGGTTTTCGAAGAGGTTTGTGATGGTTGGCAATGGACTTCATAGTTTGTAGACATAAAATAATTCTAACTTCTTTTTGAGGAAGAGTCATAAAAATACAAAATCTCCTTTGCTATCTTCTCTTCTTTACGGTCTCTAAAAGTTGACATCTCTCAGCATTCAGTCCTTAGCCTTCTGTATTTATTTTCCACACAATCTTACATGATTACTTGTTTTAAATGCCATTTGGTCTCTCAAATTTACAGTTTCTTTACTTTGGTCTCTCTTATGAGTTCTAGACTTATATTTATGTCTTTTCAACATCTCCATTAAACATTTCAAACTTAATATGCCTAAAATATAAATCTTGAACTCTTCTCCCTGGATAAATGATATGCTCCCTTGTTCCAGGCCAAAAACTCAGTCATGTGTGACTTTTTCTTTCATATCCCACATCCATTCCATTAGTAAGACTTACATGTCTTCCTTTCAGAATGTATCCCAAATCACCCCTACCCCACTCCTCACCCTTACTGCCCTATTATAAATCACTATTGTAAGTTACCTAGGTGATAATCATCTTCTAACTGGCCTTCCTTATCTTCTCATCATACCTCTCCAGTCAGTCCTTCATATAGGAGTAAAAGTTTTTTTTTTTTTAAATTGCATGTTAGGCTTTGGGGTACATGTGCAGAACATGCAAGATAGTTGCATAGGTACAAACGTGGCAGTGTGATTTGCTGCCTTCCTCCCCTTCACCCACATCTGGCATTTCTCCCCATGCTATCCCTCCCCAGCTCCTCCCCTGCTGTCCCTCTCCTATTCCCCCCAGTAGACCCCAGTGTGTAGTGCTCCCCTCCCTGTGTCCATGTGTTCTCATTGTTCATCACCCACCTATGAGTAAGAACATGTGGTATTTCATTTTCTGTTCTTGTGTCAGTTTGCTGAGAATGATGTTCTCCAGATTCATCCATGTCCCTACAAAGGACACGAACTCATCATTTTTGATTGCTGCATAATATTCCATGGTATTTTCCTGTCATTCCTCTACTCAGAACCCTTCAGTGGCTACTCAGCACACAGGATAAAACCTTGTCTCACATGTTTTACCAGGGCTGCTGACTTTATCTCCTATACTCTCTGTCTTGCTCACTGTCCTCTATGCACACCTGCCTTTTGCTATTCCTTAGATACTCCCAAGTCCATTTGTAATCAGCTAATTTCTCCCTGCTCCGTGATCCCACACCCCTCACTCCAACCAGTTCAACCTCTAACCTGGTACTAGTGGAAGCAGATTTAGAGAGAAGAAAAGTGCACATCCAATACTCTCTAGCATATGTAGTGGTAGAGTCACAGTAAAAACATTACAGCTTTAGCATTCCTAGTTTCTGCAATTTGAATTGCTTTCAAGTATAAGAGGGACTAGATTTAGAGCTACAGAAAGTCATAGCTAGAATCAATGGGGGAAAGTTACAGAGAGAGATTCTCCTCTGTTTAAAGAGTGCTAATAAGTTGGTACCAATTACATCTGCATGAAAACAGTTTGATCTGCTTCATGAGACAGTGAGTTCTCCATCATTGACAATGTGCAGGTGGAGGCCGATCAGTCTCACACAGAGATGTGAAGGAAGACCATGCTGAAGTGGAGGGAGGGAAGAATTGATTCTAAGGTCTTCCCACTTCTGAGATTAGGTCTTTTAGAATCTTCTTTTTTTCAGAATCAGTTCTCAGAGTCCTCCTCCGATTCTTCCTCTGTTTATACATTAGGAAGCTTTCTTAAATAATAAGACTTGAAAGTTGATATTACTCCTTGTTCCATAAGCTGCAGAGAGGATGTTGTCTTAGTGGGCATGAAAACATTAATCTCTTTGTACACCTCCATTAGAGCTGTTGGGTGACTAGGTGCATTAATTAAGCAATAATAATTTGAAAGGAATCTTTTTATCTGAGCAGTGACTCTCAACAGTGGGCTTAAACTATTCAGTAAACCATTCTGTAATCAGGTATGCTGTCATCCAGGCTTTGTGGTTCCATTTACAGAGCAGAGTAGATTTAGCATAATTATTCATGGCCCTAGCATAGTTCTTAATGGCCTCAATGCAAATGAAACAGCCTTATATCTGAAGAAGATGCCACATAAGACTTTCATAGCTGGAGAAGGATAGTCAGCGCTTGGCTTCAAGGGACAAGCTGACTCTCTTGCTAGGGGCTAATGCAGCTGGTCACTTGAAATTGAAGCCAGTGTTCATTTACCATTTTGAAAATCATATACACTAGAAATATGGATACACTTCAAAAACATTATGCTGAATAAAATAAGCCAGACATAGAACACCACAAACTGATTCCATTTACTGTTCTAGGTTAGAATATCAGAAGTGTGAGAAAAGATAAATTTACTATATAGTGACAAAAAATAGACAAGTTGTTGCATGCAGCTAAGGGTGGGTTGAGATTGATCTGGAGGCAGTACAAGGGAACTTTTTGGGATGATGGTTGTGTTCTATATCTTGATTATGGTGGTGATTATATGGATATGTAAATTTGTCCAAGCCCACTGAAAAGTACACTTAAAATTTTTGTATTTTATTATGTGTCAACTATAATCCCAGTAACATTGCTTAAAAAACCTTGGTATACAAATTTTGGAAGTTATTTTACTAGCAAAAGATTAACTTCTGTCTATGTGTAATGCTAAAACTTAGTCACCCTGAAAAATTCATTTAATCAGTATATACAATGTACATTAAAAAATACATGAATTAAAAGTCCTTAAGGAAAGAGAGTAGATGAATTCTCAATATACTTTCTAGTGTGTAGAAAGTATACAGACTATACTTTTTGATATATTTGATATATTGGAATCTTCACACTGATGTATGTTTCCAGTTTTCTGAATTGATGTTAGGTTGTACTCTTGACACTAAGAAGCAGCCAGATAAAATGAAATAATTACAGTTTGCTCTTGATTCTGCTTTATTGTAATAATTACAATTTGTTGTTGATTCTGCTTTCTTGTTCTTCTTGAGTTGAATTTTATTTCATGTTTCTTAACGAGGAAAAACTATTTAGAGGACATACCAATGTTCTGTAGAATCTATTTTTTCTTTTAGAAATGGATGCCCTAGAGTTTAGCTAAGCATGTGGTTGCCCGTCTAGAACCCATGATTCTCTGCTTTTGCAGCAATGTGTGGCTGTGTGGCTAATGAGAGGTGAATGGTGATGTGTGTAAGGTCACCTCCTTTAAGACAAGCCACTTACCCTAGACTTTCTCTTTTCCTTTTCTGCTGCCTGGGGTGTTACACCAGTTACAGTAGCCATCTTTGGTTGAAAGTTGAAAACCACTTGGAAGATGGCAGAGCCAGCAATTCACAAATAGTCTTGTGAAACACACCTCCCCTCCCACCCTGTATTTTGACATGAAAAAGAAGAATTTCTTTCTCACTTGAGCTACTTTTGAGTCTGTTTGTTATGGGAGAAAGTTTATACACTAACATAAAATGGAAAGCATTTCAGAGTTTTAAGTTTTTCTTTATACTGTTTGCCTATATTCTCTATATATTGGTATTGTATTTTCAATTAAAATAATTTTTAAAATAGCATATGATTGCTTGCCAAGAGTTCCTTTTTGATTGATTATTTAGGAGAATGTTTTGCAAATTTCAAAGTTACTTTTAAACTTTTGGTAGTCATTCTTAATGGAATGATATGAATATATGGCATTCTGCTCTTCTAGATTTTTATGGTTGTATTTCTGGACCAGCTTATGATCATTTTTGGTAAAGTTACATAGACCTTTTTAAAGAAGTTTTATTTATAAAATTCCTAAATACCTATTATGTTTATGAACTTTATTTTTTTTCGTCTGATTTCTCGGAGACTTAAAGTTGTAAATCACTGATTTCTCCCATTAATTTTAATTCTTTATATTTCTCTCAGGTTTTTTTTTTTTTTGTTGTATGTGTTAATGTGTTATTTACTGTCAACATCGCAATTGAGGATTATACCTTTTATCAGACAGAATAATATGACTTCTTTCTTTATTTTTCCATTAAATAAAAGGTCTTGCTTTGTCACCCAGGCTAGAGTGCCGAGGCACAATCATAGCTCATTGCAGCTTCCAAATTCTAAGGCTCAAGTTGGTGATCCTCCTGGCTAGCTGGGACTACAGACGTGGCACCACACCTCTAATTTTTGTTTTTAATTTTTTATAGAGACAGGGCCTTGCTATATTGCCCAAGCTGGTCTTGAACTTCTGGCTTCAAGTGATCCTTCTGGCTTAGCCTCCCAGAGTGCTGGGATTACAGGTATGTGCCACGGCACTCAGCCATGACTTTCTAATTTATGACTTGGGTTTTTGTTCTGCTTTAACTGGCATTGATATTGCTACCTTAGTTTATATTTCTCTATAAATCTGTACTTCCTATTGTATTTACCTTTCTTTGTCCTTATTTTAGGTATGTTTCCTAAAAGTAGAACATAGTTGGATTTCACTTTTTTAACCTAAAAAGAATGTCTCTTAACAAATATTTAATGCATTTAGATTTGTTTCCAGATTATTCTAATTGATTTTACTTTATTGATCTTCCTTTCAGCTTTCTGTTTGAAATTCTTCCTTGTTTTCATTATGTTTTAGATTTTTTGCTGTTTTGATTTAAAGTTTTATGTTTAATTTGATTTTAATTTTTAACTTATGGTCACCTAAGAGGCTTTGAAATCTAGTAAAGATTAGTTTAAAGGTTTTTTTTTTTTTTTTTTTTTTGCTTTAAGTATATATGAATACCTATCATTAACAGGCAAGAATAGGATGGTGTCTTTTGATTTCTCTCAGCGTTAAATGAGAAATTTAATTTGTTTTTACTTACCTGCTTCTCTATTTTCATTAATATGATCTAAGATTTTTTAATTCAGACTATTACTAAATTATAATTTTAAATAATTTATATACTTTTAAAATTAACTTTTAGATGGGCATAAAGATTATGAAAACCCTAACATGTCACAACCTTAAATTAATTTCTGCTTTTTCAAATATATTTCAAAAGGAATCTTAAGCCATCAAAATTAAACTCTGATATCCTATTATTCATTATTTTCTTGATTTATTTTTATATTATATCTTGAAAAGGTACCATTTTCATTTTTCCTGTTGTCCACATTCAAACTATTTCTTTGCTCATTAGACTAGGAGAAAAGTAGAAATAGTCAGATTTGAAATTAAGATACCAAGTTATGTATTTGATATTTGCTATAGCAAAGTCTAAGGTCTGGAACATGTTTAGGATTATTGGATTAATAGATTTTATGGTGGTGGATTTTATGGCAGTTATTTAGTAGATTTGTAAGCTTGTTTTCTAAGATTTTCCTGTCAGTTACTACATCAGGTAACACAGGGCCTGGCACTTAGATTCTCATTATTATTTGTTCAGTGACAGAAGCTGTCGTCTGTTGCTTCTGAGTCTCTAACAGACTGTTTTCCCCATCTTGAATGTGCCTAGTCATCTAACCTCCTCTCAAATGAGTACCAACTTCATTCTCTCTATATAATAAGGGACCTTGTATGGGGCTCTCCTAGTTTTTTCAGAACATGCTTGAGAACCATATAGGGAAGCAGGGTCTTAGAGGACACTCAGTCTTGTCTTGGAAACAGTGGAGAAGGAAGTGTAGTAGTTGCTAGGGGTAATATTATATCTTTAAGAAAACAATGCTGTTGCTAAGTTATTTTTAGACATGGAAGCCTTCTCTTTAATTTTTTTTTTTTTTTTTTTTTTTTTTTAGTGCATGATTATGTAGCTAGACTACCAAGAGGTAGGGAGTGAAGTGAAGCTGAGAACAGCCTCTCCAGGATTATCAGGTCAGGGAGAAGTTCTTGGCAAGAGACTAGATTTAGTGTGGCATTCTGGAAAGCACATGGGCTGAGGAGGCAGGAGACTTTTATTCTAGCTTTGGTTCTCTGTTCTTGTTTGTGACTGTGGCAAAAACCATTTAACTCTTGTGAGTCTCAGACTAGATTTATTAAATGAGGAATCTGACTCAAAGATCCTTTCTAACTTTAAAATGATATGACTGACCAGAGGACCGGGGTAGAACATGGAGGTTTCTACTTATCAAGCATTTTTATTTTTAATATCATTTTGTAAAGTCAAGAAGAATAAATCATTTATCTTACTGCTTTGAATAGGAGGATTAGAAGAAGGAATCATATATGGCTCACATGTTTATGTTCTGACTTCATATTAGGTAAGTGGCATGACATGTGTTGCAGTCAATTGTCTATATTGTGACACATGGAAATAATCTGGTACTAGAATGACTCAGAGGAATGTTTGTTGTTGTTGTTATTTGTTCTGTTTTTGTTTTCTTGAGACAAGATTTCACTCCATCACCCAGGCTGGCGTGCAATGGCTTGATCATACTGCAGCCTTGAACTCTCAGGCTAAAGTGATCCTCCTGCCTCAGTCCCCTGACTAGTTGGGACTACAGGCATGCATCACCATCCTTGGCTAATTTTTTAAATTTTTTTAGAGACAGGGTCTCCCTGTCTTACACAGGCTGGTCTCAAACTCCTGGCTTCAAGCAATCCTCCTACCTTGGCCTCCCAAAATGTTGGGATTTCAGGCCTGAGCACCTACGCCTAGCCAGAAATGTTAAATCACCATTTTTTCCTGGAGAATACTTGACAAAAATATTTATCTAGATTCCCAGAAGTGTATCACCTTTTCCACTGGGATATGTGTGTTTCTCAAAATTGAGGATACTGGGTGGTGGACCTGTTGTGTGGTACCAGTCAGCCATCAGGCTGTGGGTCACGCTGAACATCCTTCATTGAACTCCCGAGTGGTGAAACAGCTGCTGGCACCAAAGTTGTGTTTTACAAGGGCAGTAATAGGATGCTGCCCGAGCTGGCTATATGTCATAAGTCGAGCTGGGCATGATCACATGCAGGGTGGGCAGAGAGAGTTTTCAAATAATGAGCACGTCACAGTTGTGAAGAGCTGGGGAAGAGTGCTGACTGAATAAAATCTATGTAGCAGTCAAAGAGTGACCCTTTTTGAAGAAAGGCTTTGTTCTGCCCAGATTCTGGACGAAGAGCCACCAACAAAGGCTCCATCCAGAGCAGCACAGAAAAGACTGGACAGTGGACATTGGCTGCTTTTCTTCTCTGTAGTCATCACATTGAGAACTAAAAAATAGTTGAAAAGTTTTATTTTTCTCTATATCAAGAGCTTCCAGGGATGGGAGAGAGTTATTTCATTTCAGAAATGTGTTTTGTTTTAGTAAACACATATGAATTGAATAAATGTAAATAAAATTCAAAATAAATTAGAAATGTGAATTTAAAAAATGTGTATGATATAGGCTTTTAAGTACCACTGCATTGTAGGCCCCGGTTAGCGATGCAGAGATCAACATTCAGTAAATTCTTCGCTCAGGAACTTGAGTAAGACCAACCAATAAATGGCTAATACTTACTATGTTTCATTCAGTTTTTGTAGAGAATCTACGCTATGCAAGGCAATAGGACTTACAAAGTAAGACGGAGAAGATCAAGTCTCTGTTCTCAAGGCATTTATAGTCCCGAGGGATATGACTGAATGGGTAACTAGAGCGCCAGGTACATGGAGGCATACAGGAGAGAATAATAGAATGTGTGGGTGTGAATAACGCAGGTGACTTGAATGTGTCCTGAGATTAGAAAGAAGCAGCCTCAGGATGCCTATACTTTCAGATTTCTAGAGTGTTTAAGTCTTTTAGAACTACAGAGTTAACTACTGGAGAAACCATTCTTGTATGTCTTTACAGGTATTAATGAGTCCACAGCTGTCCACAGCTGTGGACTCATTAATACCTATTAAGCATCTGGGAGGAAAAAATAATACCTATAAAACATCTGGGAGGAAAAAAAATTGTTGATACACGTGCTTTCTGTTTTCAGCTGATGATGAAGATGATGATCGGATCCCTCTCTACTAGCTACACGTTATATCCAAAATTAAAAATTTTAAATATAGAGAGATACCTTTCGATCAAACATTTTTCCCTGTTAAGTTGCAGTAGAAGTCTTTCTTGAACTTAAAGTCTATTTAAAAGAGATTGCATGGCCTCCCACAGTCATTGAATCCCACGGCTCTTTGAGGTAGGGATTTCCTATTCAGCCCAGTGTCCTGTTCAAGTACGAGGCTGCTTTCTCTCTCTCTCATTATTGAAGTGTTGGTCTTTTTTGACAACAGTAGAGGCCTGTAATTTATTTTAAGCTGGATTTGTAAATTGAAGGGGCCCAGGCTGAGTCTGGCCCATGTTGCATGTGGCTTACCTCCGTGCCTGAGCCACAAAAGGCCCGCTATTTGCTGTTTTTAGGGAGTTAGTAAGAGCTTTTGTGATATAGTTTATACACATTTTATTGGCTAAAAGCTAGATGATCTGAAGGAAAAAAGAATAGGATACAAAAGTCAAAGTTCTGGCTGTGAACTAGAAGAAAAGTTAAAAATATAAAAACCAGCACAAATGGTGCAAACAAGAATTAGAAATTAGGAAGAGCCTAGAAGGAGAGGTTTTTAATTATAGCACCCCTTAAGACATCTGAAATTGTTACAATGATTTTAAATAGGCAAACTTTTGGTCTTAAAAAGAAGCAAGGGCTCTACTCTCTGTGTGTAGTTTATTAAATGTAAACACATAACGAAATTTAAGGGGAAAAGATAATCTTTTTATGTGAAACTGTTTTGATTTATGGCTTCCCAGACTTTGAGAGCCTCTTTGCACTTTGATTAATACACTGAGTGGTTTTAATAACTGAATAAAATTGTTGAGGGGGGTGTGGCATGAGCAACTTTTTTTAATATAGCAATTGGGAATATCATTAAGAAGATTAAGCAGTTTGTAACATAAGCCTTGAATAGTATTACTAAATAAAGAAAATGAGGTTTTAGAAATTTGAACCCATTAACTGCAAAAAAGTAAACTTTTTTCATGTAATACTGAAATCAACTATGGAATTGGAGAAACTAAGATTTTTCTTTTTAAAATAAAATTATTTACAGAGGAAATTCATAACAGTTTCTCTTTGTTAAAAAACAAAAAGCATTTATAGCTCAGTCTAAAGTTCCATTTGACTACCACCCTTCTGTCTCCCCAGAGATCATCATTTTGCTACCTACTCTTCCAAATTGTCTTCTAAATATTTTTATGCATATATGTGTATACATACAACAGATGTATATTTTTTTGGATGTTTAAAAAAATACAGAGTGTTGATTGCTGGTTCATTTTAAATATGGCCTTCCATTGTTATGTTTTATTTTTAATA